AAGAGTTTGTCTTTAAAGAAAATACTTTGTTAACCTCGATTCTGTACTGGTTTGTACTTTCCTTGAATCATTTTGTCTCTTAAGGGAACCTCCACTCTTTTAACAAACAGTCCTCAAAATCAAGTTGCTTTCTAAGTAATGATTAAAAGATTGTGGACAATGCGAGTCAGAACTGAACTTGTTTCATTCTTAGAGGTGATACTTATTTCACTGGAGATTTGGGCATCCCTCCTCATTTTACTCCAAGGATGGGACAAGCAATTAGTGATTTTTCAAAGTGTTTAGATTGTGTCAGTGATACTCAAAGACGATTTGTTTCATAAATGCTGTAATTGAGTTAAATTGAGATTTAGCTGGGTAGTTTTAGGAGATTGGAAAGAACAGGTCTCCTGTTAGGATTGCAACGCAGTATAACTAAAAACACCTAGACCCTTTTCATTATGATTGTATCCTTTATTGATATCGTGGTGCAATTTCCTTCCAGGCTTCTACATGATGGTATGAAGCTCAAGTTAAAAACGCCCCAAAATAGCTGTGACCAGAGGACATGTAAATTGTGACGTTGTCGTTTGAATGCAGTGATATGACGTCACCAGCTCTTAGGAGAAATACTCCCCTTGTATACATGGGTAGGTAGCCTGTGCCTTCGGCTAGCTGAAGCATGGTGACCTTTTTGTTATTCTTTCGAATCTCCACCCTTCCCCACCCTTCCCTTGGTAAGAAAGTATAGTTGTGCATAGATATAGTACGCGCCAGCGGTAGGCACAGTCAGTTGTCCACCACTGGATATCATGCCTCCCACCTGAAGGCTAAGCGCATTCTCCAATGTCCAGTCTTTTATCACTATGAGGCAATTTTGGATGCGACAATTAGCAAAACTGAGGAAACTATTGAAGTCACAAGAAAAGATAAAAACAACCTTGCCTAGCCTGATAGGAAACTTTTCCTTTTATTGATGGCCTCGATATGAGCGGAAGTCTTCACCGCTGGACGTGGACACTGAAGATACAAGACTAAAAAACAGATGGACATGAGTTTATACTGTAAATTCAAGACTATACAGTTGTCATTTTCTAACCTACTGTCGTTAGGAAACAAGACCAAATCTTACTTGAACTCTTGTCTTTGAATGATTTCATAGAAAGCTTAATATGAGTTTTGAATCTAGTCTTATCTTTCCTTGTTGTAACAAAGAAATCATTTAGTGGTAGTCGGAATAGTATGAACAGATGGCAATGCTTGAAATCAAGAGTCTGCATCCTCTTGGTAAAGGGAAAAAAGGACGTAAATAACTAAAGAAAGGAGGTTGTGTTTAAGCTCGGTAGTCGAATGAAGAAAGTGCGTGTATCTATTTCTCAAGAGCTTTGAACAAAGAAGGACTGAAACCCCAGACCTTTTGCCTTTTGTTTCGCAATCCAACGCTTTACCATTTTGCCACAGAATATTATGGACAGTTTTTCCACTTTTCTTACCTGTGGAGGTTGAGCAGATATCACTTCGGTGCATATCAGAAAGACACAGGAAAAAATAATTTTAACCTCAAGAGAAGCCATGATGTTGAGAATATCTGAACCT